ACAGAAGAAAATGACCTTGTGTTTTGAAGGATGAGTTACTGGTGTGTTACTGGCCTTGTCCTGAGGTTTTCCCTCCATTCCTTTACCCCAGCTTCTTCTGATAAATTTTATGTCTATAATGCATACTTTAAAAATATTTTCTGTTGCGTGTGTTCACTGGAACAATGTGATACTGAGAGGAGCTGGACGGTATTAGTATTTCAGTAGAATTGGGGGAATGGACCTACTGTAAATATAATTCTGGCCCTGGTTAACTAGTGCCTGCCGATATCTCTGACAACTTTATCGGTTGTCCTGGTGCAACTTTATCAAGTTGGAGGGACTGTCTCAAGGCTTTAGGTGGAAGCCCTCCTCCCCTCCTCGAACTTAATGGCGTATCTGGTGTTTTTCCACACACATTGGATTGGTTTGGCAGTATTTTTCATGGCTCATTTCTCTACTCCATCTCCTTGTTCCTGATAGGAGCGGCAGTGCTGGCTAAGGGGAGAGAGAGAGAGAGGAGTCCGGTGAGCAGCTCCCTTTAGGGCCTATATTGTATGCTTTTTACCTTGCCTTTGAAGAAGAACTGAACATTGCACAACTACTGTTCCGTAGCACATAAAGGGATTTTAGCGATATGTGTTACCAAAAATAGTCTTGTTCGACTCCAGTCCCTGCACGTCCACTGGACAGGAACTTTGTCATGTATTTGTGTCTGTTATTCTTTTTTGATGTTTTGCAAACATCTCATAACAAAGACTGTTAAGCCACTCGGACATCTGGGCTGAATCACATTTAACCAGCTTATGTGAGCAAATGTTTCTACCCATTCACATAGTGAAATGTTAGCTATAAAGTCTGGGGCGTTCTGCCACAGAGATGAACAGCTTAATGTGGTTATCATTAAATAAATTCGCTCTGCTTATTCTGACTCTGCCTGTTTCCCATGAATGCAGAATATTCATGGGAATACCACATGCAAACTGGGGTTTCTTTTTGATTGTTTAAACCAGTGGAAATAGTTAACTCTTGCACTTGCTCTTTTTAGCTTTTGCCAAATACAAAACTTTTAAAAGTAAAAGACAAGGGAAAAAAGGAAGAGCTGTTTGCACACATACCACAAGTCAGGCACTTCTTGTGTCCAGTCAGCACTGGTTTGAACCAAACAGTACATCTGAAAACATCTTTTGCTAGTGCTGATGGTGCTTTTCTGTCCTGGGTAGATTAGGAACTTCTTTGGACCTAATTTGTAACATTGTCTGGCCTGTATATTAAAAAGATAAAATTTCCACTCAGATCGGAGTATAAATGATCCTCAGTTGGAGTTAGTCAGCTTTATATTTAGAGCTTTCTTAACCTAGTGCAAGGAAAAACAGACCGGTACTCTTTTATGTAGAGTCCTGCAATTCAGTGCCCCCTCGTCACCATAAAAGCTCATAAAACGTACGAGCAGCTTCATGTGGCTGTTTGTGCTGCAGCAGAAAGGGGCCCTGGAGTGAGGTGGGAGTTAGGCCAGGCCCTCAAGGATGTAGCCAAAGTTATGGCTTCTCCTTGCGCCTAATTCGGTGACTGTGATTGCCCCGTTTTGTCCTGTTCCTCCCTTCCCCTATCTCCTGTGCTGCTGCTGCTTCTGCCCTTGAAGTAGATCTTAATGCTAAGGTGACTGTAGGATGTCCTGAATCAAAGTTTATTTGCTGTCTTTGTGTTTCCCTGGAATAGTTTTCCACTGAATGAGCTTGCAGAGGTGATTGCTCCCGCAGCCACGAGATCCCTCCGTCCTGCCCCATGTTGGGAGCAAAGCAGGACCTCTTCCTTGGCAGCAGCATGGAGCTGCACTGCGTTTTGTGACACTGTGGATTCCTTGGTTTTGGTACTAGATAGTAGACTTAGTTTTTAGACCTCATGTTAGTGAAGAAAAGCTCTGAACTCTTAATTCATGCTTTGCTTTGAATAAATTAAGTGGCACTGTCTGTAGGATGCAGGAATTTGATCTTTTATAAGGGAACTTGAGGATGGCAGTGATGGCCTTTGTCTTCATGGGAAGGAATTGAAGAAGAGTGGTGTTGGTAGAGCTTGTGGATCGCCCCCACCAAAGGAGCAGTGGGGATACCGTGAACCCAGGCTGCACATACGTTCTTTTCCTTCCTTCCTCCCAGCACTTTTTCTCCCCATGCAAGTCCTGCTCATCAGCAAGGAGTTAGTTACCGTCTAGGCAGAAAATGGCGGTAGTTTTACATCAGCTACCTCAAATCTCAGTAGAAGGGCAGCAGTCACTGCACAGGTCGAGAGTCTGGACTGACATCTGTGCTCTCTGCCCTAGATGCTGTCTAAACTGCAAGAGTTGACCAGTACCTGACTCACAGGCCTGTAAATTTGCCTTATCCTCCCTCTGCTGGTGATCCATCTTCTGTGGTCTCCAGGGTATAACTAGTAGAATTTCATCTTTAGGATTATGAACAGCTTACATTATACAAAACGAGGTTTAAAAATGATGTATGCATAAGCTCTCTAAGCATATTTATTCTGTGTTCTCTGTATAAATTCAGCAAGCTGATAGAAGAAGCAGCCCAATGTTCTTCTGCTGCACCCTCGAGCTCTAAAGAGCTTTTTCATTCTTGAAACAAGGTTTGTGTTCTGGTCGTTTTGTTTGGGCAGTTGCAGTAACGCTTTGAAGTGTTTGCTTCGTCTGCCTTGGTGGGTCATTTTAAGATATTGCAATCTTAATTGTAAAGGTATTTGGGGAAATAGCTTTGAATTTGAGGACTTTTTTATTTTGTAAGGCACTCCTGAGAAAGATGCTCCAACCCTAGTTTTTTGGTGTGTCTTTGTCTTGCGTTTACCCAGGCAGTGAGGGTGGTCCAAAAGGTCGTATGATCTTTCAGTGTTTGCTTTTTTTTTTTTTTTTTTATTCTTTAAAGTTGTGCATCTTTGTCTGCTGATGGCCGCGGGTGGCCCAGAATAGCCTGTGGTTAGCTGGCGGGGCGAGAGTAATTCTTGTTACTTGTCAGCTGTAAAATTTATCACTCATCCGCGCGTCAAAATTATGAAACAGGACCCTGCGTAGTGGTGAGAGTGAGTCGCTCACCTGGCATCGGGCAGCATCTGGCAGTGTGGGAGTGAGGGGAAGGGATGGAGCGGTGCCCTCGCTTGCACCTGCGTCTCATTTATCAGCAATGCGCAGAGAAGTGTTTATTTACGGTGGTGCACAGGGCTGTCGGCTCCGTTTCGGCCGCCGCCCGCTTGGGCGCCGAACGA